AGGGAGATTTCGGGGCTCACCCAGAAAATGGCGTTTCATTACATTCAAAGCTGGTTTTCTGAGGAGAGCCCCTACAGCTCCCTGGAGCTTCATTCCCAAGGAGAAGGAAAAAGATGGACTTACCCGAGGGGGAGCCGGTCGGCCAAGCGGACAGCACGCTGGATTTGTGATCCTGTGGTCCTGGGTTCGATCCCAGGCGCCGGTGAGAAACAATGGGCAGAGTTTCTTTCACCCTATGCCCCTGTTACCTAGCAGTAAAATAGGTACCTGGGTGTTAGTCAGCTGTCACGGGCTGCTTCCTGGGAGTGGAGGCCTGGTGGAGGACCGGGCCGCGGGGACACTAAAAAGCCTCAAAATCATCTCAAGATAACCTCAAGATCTCAAGATAACCCAGCAGGCGGCTTCTCAACCAACAAACTCCTCAACGTAAAGTTGAGACAACTGGCTGCAACCTGCGACCCAAAGCAACACAAGAATGCCCAGGAGCAGGCACTTTCACCAAATAATGGGCGACCAGGACCCTGTTTCACCTTCAAAATCTCTGCGCCCGAATATTAGCCCAAACATGTTACCAAACACTGCAGCCAAAGCTGCAAACTTCCAAACGTCATATGCGCGAGGATAGACCGCAGGCTGGCTAGACTTAATAACCCTGCAGACGACCAGGGAGATGCGAGCCTTGGAACAAGGAACGAGGGAAACTGGATCAACCCAAACCGCATCCCCAGTCACCACAGTCAAGGCGCGCAGGTAACGACGAAGAGCCTCAACTGGACACAACACATGATGCACTCCTGGCCGAACCAACCAAGCATCAATATCCTGAGTCCCGAGTGACCCGAACTGTGCTGTGAGCCTGATGAAAGGATGGACCCCACTGTCCTTGGCTGGCTTGATGGGCACTGGTCACAAAGCCCCAGCCGAAAGATGACGCATCCGTGAACACATCGAGCGAAGGCTCGGGAAGGTGCCAAGGCACCAAGCCCCAAAAAACCCGAAGAGGAAGCGGGTGACGCAGCAACCGACATAAGGCCCCCGGAGTACGAACCTAACGATCACGAGAGAGGCAAAAGGGGCATCCCAAAGGAACCAAAACAGACGCCGAAGCCAAACCTGACCTGGCAGGTAGACCAGCACAGCACAGTTCAGACTCCTGCGCAACTGCTCGAGCAACCGCCGAATGACCCGGGACCCCCCTCAGAAACGGACGGAGGTGGGACCGCAGCAGCAGCAACGCCTCTGGAGGGCAAGACAAGGAAGCGGCCCGAGAGTCCCAAACATGACCCAGCCAGGTCCGAACTTAGGATAGAACCAGATGGGAGTTCCTCCAGTTCACCAAGAATATGAACCTGGCGTGCTGGGAAAGAACCACATCCCTGGCGAGCAAACAAGCAGACCGACTGGGAGCCCACACCAGCCACTCGTCGAGGTTGGCCAAAACACGAATTCCTAGCAGATGCAGATGGATCACCACAACCCGGGTAAGACACATGAAAACGCAAGGTGCCAGATTCAAGCCAAAAGAGAGGCAACGAAGGCGGTAAGCCTGATGCCCCACTACGAAACCTAATCAGTCCCTGAACCCCGGATGAATACGTGCCAATATACGTCCTTGAGGTCCAGGGACACCATTCAGGCACCCAGCTTCAACAGAAGCTGGACCTGAGACAGAGTAGTCATCCCGGAGGGGTCGTTTGACCATAGTGCACTCACTCAAAGACCTTGACGAAGCCAAGAAGCCTGCCCTGCCAAACCCCCCAAAGGAGGAGGAGCCACCCAACACCACCACAGGCCAGATGACACAACCAAAAAAGGCCCACATATCGTGGGACCAAGTGTGGGCAAACAGAGCGAGGCCCCCCCCCCCCATCATCCGACGCCCCTTACGAGAAGCCAAGCGCTGAACAGAGCGATCACCGTACCGACCAGATGGTACCAGCACCGAAGGCAACATCTGCTCAGAAACTGGCGCCAATGACCCACCTTGACAACCAATGTAACGGTTCTATTGTTACGTAAAGTATGGTGACAATAAACACAAAGATAATATATATATTTGGTCGAATATACAGAAGTACGCAGGTGATACTTTGGTGTGAGTTGAGCAAACTGAGCGTCGGTACAGTATCTCGCAAGTGTCTGTTCTAGACCACAGTTGAAAGTAGAAAGAAAGAAACCCAGAACCCTGGCATGACCCCTCTGAGACAGCCGAGAACGACCGCCCCGGAGAACAAACAAGTCCGACAATGGACAACAGCTAGACGAAGCTGCTTGCAAAAACTGCGAGACCGCAGCCTCTGCAAACAGTAACGGACAAAACGGAGACGAAAACCTAAGAGCCAGGGCACAAGCAGATTTCAAAGAGAGAGCGAGCACAGCCTGATGGCACGCAAGGCGAGAAGTAAAGAACAGACGCCGCCTCCTTCAGGATAGGAGCAAAGAGCTTCAACAGTGCAGCCGATGCCCTAGCTACCGAAGTCAGCACCCCAGATGGAGGCTCGGCACTCAACGCCTCCACATCCTCCTCAAGCCAGGCAGAAGACAGCTCGAGAAGGGAAAAGAAACATAAGACCAAAGCCAAATGCTCACGGGTGCACAAATCCTCCGCACCTAAAGACGCCGAAAGAGAAGGAAACTGCACGTAAAGCTGCAAAAAGCCAACATCTCGAGAAAACATGGGGCGAACAAGCATGCATCAAGGTGCTCAAACTTGCCCCCCAGGTAAACCTGCAGAATGGTAGTAGTTTTACGCTAATCAAGCTTGCGGGTCTGACAACCCATGCCACGCCCCCAATGAAAAGAATGGACAGTCTGCCAGCCAGGAAGACTCTGGAACCTCCAAATGTACCCAAAACGGGGAAGAAGAACCAAACTCAAAAGAGGACGGCTCCATGACAGTGGCAGAAACTGGGTCTCGCAGGAGGTATGAAGCAAAAGCCTCCCAAACCTCCTTCGCAGAGATACGAGAAGCAGAAAACCTCCGGAAAGACGGGACCAAGGTACCCAAAGGGTCCCGGAACCGAACCCGGGGAGAAGCCGAACCCAAATCATACTCAGACAATGAAGTGGGGTAAGAAAACCCCTCCCCCTCTGCAACAATAAGCCCTGCAAGGAAGACAAAAGCACCCAAGCGGGGTCAAAGGGGGTCCCAAGGTTCCCTAGGTCGACTCCTCCCAAGCCCGGAGATCCCCAAGTCAGGACCCGACGTAGAACTGTCCTCCAAACCCTCTACCCCTGAAGAAAAGGCAGAATCCAGGGGAAAGGCAGACAAGAAGGGGGTCTGCTGGTCTGCCCAAAAGTCTCGGCAGGGAACCGGTTCAAATGCCTCGGTCCCCGACCCGAATGGGGCAGCCCCCGAAGCCGCCCGAGTCTCATTACCAACTAAACCCTGTGCTGACTCCGAAACCCTCAGACGTTTGGGAGCCAGAAACGGGGGGAGGTGCAGGATGAACAACAGGGAAAGGACCAGGGAGCACAGATGGAACCAAAGTCGAAGCAACTAACGCCCCCAGATCTGGGTCCCTAAAATCAAAGCGGGCCAGCCACGGGGCATCCAGGTGGGAAACCAACCTAGTGCTTTGCAGTAACCTAAACCTAACATGCAACGCGGGTGCTTCCTGTACCCTAACTGCAATATCATCAGAATAAAACTGGAGCACAAGTGGAGAACAAGACTCGGGGGGGAAGTCAAAGGTGTCGTTGACCCAACAAGCAGCATGATGGAGGCAAAACAGGCGACTGTCACCCTGAGACAAGGGCACACAGCAACTTTCGAACCCGCACAAGGCAGGCTGGAACTGTGAAGACACATCCATCGGTCCATCGAGCCCCGACAGGGTTTTCCAGGGCCTGTAGGGCAACAACTACGGGAAGCCCAGGCACGGTGTTGCTAACCGGTTAAACACCCAAACTAACAAGGTGTAGAGGACAACACTGAAACCCCTGCGACGTATACAATCACGGGGGGGCCTAGCAGAGTGCCACCAAAACAGTATCAGGGGAACTATTGTCCCACTAGGCAGACCCTCCACCAGGCAAACCCTCCACCAGGCAAACGAAAACAAAAGAAAAGAAAAATCCTGCAAAAGTACACCGTTCACAGAGGCAACAGGAACCGGTCGCCGCTTAGGTGGCAGGTCGTGCAACACCTTGATGCCTTAACCAGCATGACACAACTCCCTACCCAAGGACAAACGAGGGCCCCAAACCCGATCTGGCCCCAAGGGCGAGGAAATTGCCGAGCAGCAAGAACCCTCACGGGAATGGTTCCCGAACACCCCAGGGAAGAGAACCCTGACACGCAGGGGCAGTACTCACAGGGCGCTTAGGGGAGAAGCCCCAGAAGCGCATGCTGCCCTGGCACTGAAGGAGTACTCCTGGCCACCACTCACCACAATAATACAGTGGAGAACGCCACACAGGCAAACACTGCCCAGGAATTTGAGGCCAGAGAAGTGTGTCCCGGTTGACATTAGCTTACGAACTGGAGTGCTATGCAGCCGGCGCAGTGAGGTTCGCCCCCCCCCCCCCTCCCCCTCTCAGGGAGGGGAGGGCTGCACGGATGAGCGACAGGCACAGCAGTAGAGTGCGACATTTGCTTGTTTCCTTGTGATTGAAGGGAGTTCTATCTCTGTTCGGTTTTGTTTTAGTTTCTTACTATGTGGGTTTGTTTTGTTATGCCTACCTTTCTGGGTGCCTAACCCTGGTCAATGGTAAATAAGGAAAAACCCCAACCACAAGGAGTGTTTTCCAGGGCCAATGCTACCTGCAACCTCTCTGAACGGGCCAGGTTCTGGCTCATGGTCCCTGGTAGGTCTGAACGCCATAGCTAATGTCCCGGTCTAATATAAAAAAACACATTAGCCCGATAAGCTCCAGGGAGCCGTAGGGGCTCCCCTCAGAAAAGACAGTCTTCGGGAATACACCCCTACAGTATGTACAGTTAACAGTATGTACAGTATCTTCAAAACATTTTATTTGATAATTGATATCTTTTTCAGGTTAACTGTAGCAATGAAGGGGTCTGTGTTCACCTATGTGATGAGGCTTCCCCAGAGCATAAAAACAAAACACGGGCATATTGTCGCTGTGCTGATATGTGGGATGGAAAATATTGTACATCGTAAGTACAAAATAATACATTTTTGTCATAAATATCAGAGCATCCAAATTCAGAATTTTTAATATGAGCTACATACAGATCCTAAATGACAAATTGCTTATGTACTCCTTTTCATTACAGAAAGTTTCCAAATTTGATGTGAATCTGGCCATCACTGTTGGATGTGTGGTTGCACTTATGTTGATAATTGCCATTGTTGGCCTTACTGTTTTCTTGATGATGGCTAAGAAGAAACGACAAACGAGAGGAACATATTCCCCAAGCAGACAGGTAAATGTAATATTCTGATATTGTACAAATTGTGGGCTGCTCAGAGTTCCACCACTAACACCACCTGCCTCCCATGACAACTTCCACCACTAACACCACCTGCCTCCCATGACAACTTCCACCACTAACACCACCTGCCTCCCATGACAACTTCCACCACTAACACCACCTGCCTCCCATGACAACTTCCACCACTAACAGCACCTGCCTCCCATGACAACTTCCACCACTAACAGCACCTGCCTGCCGTGACAACTTCCACCACTAACACCACCTGCCTCCCATGACAACTTCCACCACTAACACCACCTGCCTGCCATGACAACTTCCACCACTAACACCACCTGCCTGCCATGACAACTTCCACCACTAACACCACCTGCCTGCCATGACAACTTCCACCACTAACACCACCTGCCTCCCATGACAACTTCCACCACTAACAGCACCTGCCTGCCGTGACAACTTCCACCACTAACACCACCTGCCTCCCGTGACAACTTCCACCACTAACAGCACCTGCCTGCCATGACAACTTCCACCACTAACACCACCTGCCTCCCATGACAACTTCCACCACTAACACCACCTGCCTCCCGTGACAACTTCCACCACTAACACCACCTGCCTCCCGTGACAACTTCCACCACTAACAGCACCTGCCTGCCATGACAAGCCTACCCATGATTAGCCTACCCAAGTAGCAAGGACCATAGAACAACCTCCTACACTTGTAGGGAGTGTGGGTGAAATTGGATATAAGAAAGTGAGCTTCAAGGTAATGTACTCAAACATTGATAGGATTACCAATAAAGCAAGTGAACTGGCAGAAAGGGTGCAAGAAGAAAACCCTGACGTAATAGGACTAACAGAAACAAAATTGTCAGGAGTCATAACAGATGCTGTGTTTCCAAAGGACTACTATATAGTAAGGAAAGAGAGGGAAGGGAGAGGAGGTGGAGGAGTGGCCCTGCTGATAAGGAAGGACTGGAGTTTTGATGAGATGGAAATTCCGGGCTGTGACGGATTCAGAGATTACATAACAGGAACTATAACAATGGGTGGACCTAAGATAATAGTGACAGTCATTTACAACCCTCCCCTAAATGACAGAAGACCTAGACAGGAGTTTGATAGGAACAACATGGCAACTATTAATATAATAGAGCAGCTTCAGTTGCCTGCAGGAATGGCTCAAGACTCTTAATCATGGGTGATTTCAACCATGGAAAGATAGACTGGGAGAATGGGGACCCACATGGTGGTGCAGATACGTGGCGAGCTAAACTCTTGGAAGTGGCAACAAGGAATTTTCTGAGCCAGCATGTCAAGGAACCCACAAGAATGAGAGGCAATGATGAACCAGCTAGACTCGACTTAATATTCACCCTAAATGAGTCAGAAATAAGGGAAGTCAAAGTTGAAGCCCCCATAGGAATGAGTGACCACAGTGTACTGACCTTTGAGTACTTGGTGGAGGTAGGGATAACCTATCCAAGGATGGGAGTGGAGGGGAAAAGACTGAATTACCGAAGAGGAAAATATGACGAGATGAGGAACTTCCTAATGGGAATACCATGGGAAACAGAACTTAGAGACAAGAATGTGCAGGTCATGATGGATATTGTCACCCAAAAGTGCCAGGAAGCTGCAGACAGGTTTATCCCCGTCCAAAGGAGAAAAACGAAAAACAACAGAAAAAACCCATGGTTCAACCAGGAATGTAAGGTAGCGAAACAACTGAGTAAAAGAACATGGAGAAACTACAGAAATAACAGAACACCAGAGAGCAGGGAGAGGTATCAGAGGGCCAGAAATGAGTACATCAGAGTGAGGAGGGAAGCAGAGAGACAGTTTGAAAATGACATCGCGAGTAAAGCCAAGACCCAACCAAAGCTGCTCCACAGCCATATCAGGAGGAAAACAGCAGTGAAGGAACAAGTGATGAAGCTGCGGAAAGGGGAGAACAGATACACAGAGAATGACAAGGAGGTGTGTGAAGAACTCAACAAGAGATTCCAGGAGGTCTTCACAATAGAACAAGGAGAAGCCCCTGCACTAAATGAGGAGGCGGCAACCTTGGAAACCTTGGAGGAATTTGACCTCACCAGTGATGAGGTCAAAAGGTGTCTGCTGGAGCTAGATGTGACAAAGGCTGTTGGGCCTGATAGAATCTCACCATGGATACTAAAGGAAGGTGCAGAAGCACTAAGTGTGCCACTCTCTATGGTGTATAACAGGTCACTGGAAACAGGAGACTTACCAGAAAGTTGGAAGACAGCTAACGTGGTCCCAATATACAAAAAGGGTGACAGGCAAGAGGCACTGAATTACAGGCCAGTTTCCTTAACTTGTATACCATGCAAGGTGCTGGAGAAGATCGTGAGGAAAAGGCTCGTAGAGCATCTGGAGGGAAATAACTTTGTAACGCACCACCAACATCTCTGAACATGGGTTCAGAGATGGTAAATCGTGCCTCACAGGGTGACAACTTCCACCACTAACACCACCTGCCTCCCATGACAACTTCCACCACTAACACCACCTGCCTGCCATGACAACTTCCACCACTAACACCACCTGCCTGCCATGACAACTTCCACCACTAACACCACCTGCCTGCCATGACAACTTCCACCACTAACACCACCTGCCTCCCATGACAACTTCCACCACTAACACCACCTGCCTCCCATGACAACTTCCACCACTAACAGCACCTGCCTCCCGTGACAACTTCCACCACTAACACCACCTGCCTCCCATGACAACTTCCATCACTAACACCACCTGCCTCCCATGACAACCAGACACCACCTGCCTTATGTGGTAAATGTTACTTAAGCTACAGTATATTTATGAGATTCCGTAGTTTATTCCTTCCATACAGTGGGGAAAGGAGAAGTGGTGCTGCCTTATTTGGGGGAGGGGGTCATCTTATGCGGTGAATATAGGCCTAAACCTGAATTACACCTCAACATTTTTGGGGTTGACTTGTATGCCGACACATACAGTATCAGTATATTTTTATTTATACTGTGTAAGGTGCAGTAAGTGGCTTGGTGTCATTTTTTAATACCTTTAACCCTTCTTTTCTTCAGGAGTTCTACAGCCCACGAGTTGAGATGGGCAACATGATGAAACCCCCTCCAGAGGAAAGATTAATTTAAGACATAACCCAAAATTTGGGCTGTGAAATAAAATTTGTAAATTTTGCTCATTAGATAGTAAGTCTGAGTATTGGGCATCTTTACCTTGAAGTTCACTTCAATGTGCATTCAAGAACCTAAAGAAAAGGTTCGTCTATGAAAATAAATTGCACGTTGAGTGAGTGACAGAATGCTTCTCAACAAGGCCACGTATCAAGATTTTGGTTTATGAAAGTTGCTTAAAAAGATGGTATTCCTTCATAGCTTTTATTTGCATTAAATAATTAAAAATTATTTATACGTGCTAAATAATTGAAAGTGACAAAGACTCTCAGAAAAGTTCAGTTCAGTTACAGGCTGTTCTTGGTGGAGTGAAAAGTTCGTCATGAACCTGAGCAAAGATGGTATGAAGCCTGCAATGCGGCAGACCTACGCTGTCTTTTGACATGTACGAGAAATACACTGACAGTGGATGTGTTTGTGGCCATAGCAATAACTATTAAAATCTAGGATAAAATAATACAAAAAGTCTTCCAAGTCGATTTCTATTATTACACAGAAGGCAAAATATTTGTCGTGTACTGTTTCAGTAGCATTCATTAAAAGGTTCGCAAGTTACTGGAAGTGAAAAATCTTTATATCAAAGTATACTTACTCTGGTAAGTAGTACAGACTAAACAAATGTAGTGAAAGAAAGTCAAAGTGGAAACCTTGGTTCAGAATGGTGCCAGAGGTAACCAGTCCATCCATACAATAGTTTGTTGTTTCAAATTCACATTGAATTTGAATGACCTTAATTATATGTTTTAATATTTTTATCAAAGATTTTCCATTTATAAACTACTAATTATGTGCACTTTTCTCATTTTTAAATGCTTAAATTGCTTGTATTTTTTATTTCATTAAATGAAATATTAACTTATTGCAAAGTGCTTTTCGATGTCATAGGAATAATGTAAATACCCTCGGGATTAAACAGATGTGTTTAATCATGTATAATAAATACATAATTTAATAATTATGTTGATATAGTTCTAATTTTTTGTTAACAATTATGAGTTTCTTACTAAGAAATTCAGAAGCTATTAATCAGTGTCCAAATATATTACACAGCAGTTATCAGTATCTTATTAAAGATAAGCTATAATATATTGAGGTGCTGGAGTACTCTTGATAGCTGGCTATCACTGAATACAATTGTTATTAGGATGGTACTTTTTTTTTGAGTTTCAAGTTACATGATCACTTCAGCAAGTTACATAGGTGGTTGCAGCACTAAGTTACATATATGGTTTGAGCAAGTTGCATATATGGTGTGCTCTCAGTCACATGCAGCTATTTGTTTGTCTATGGTGCCGTTGTTTTCTTAGTGATGTCACGAGGTCAATGTGTGCACGCAGTATTGTATCTGTTTCTAGGCTTGTATTGCCCAGTATTCTTCATATTGATGTACAGTATATAAAGTGAGAAGAAATCAACAAATATTTCATTTAAATAATTTTTTAATGTCTTTCCATTTTGGAAATTGTTTGCATCTTTACAAATACAGATTTGATATTTGAATTTGAATTTTGTTCCTCTTGGAATTTGGTAATGATTACATCAGTACTAATAAATGAGCTGATAATCGGTATTAGTTTCTTGAATTTCAATCGGTGAGCTTATGATGGGCATTAGCTTCATCATTGCCAATCAGTGAACTTATGATTGGTACTTGTTTCATCAGTGCCAATCAGTGAGCTTATGATTGGTATTTGTTTCATCAGTGCCAGTCAATGAGTTTGCGATTGGTAATACTTTCATCAGAAATCAGTGAGCTTGCGACTAATAATGGTTATAGTAGCAATTAATAAATGTGAGTGTGCGTGTGTGTTGTTTTTTATAAGAACTTCCTGTATAGTTGTGCCACTAATACTTAATGATCAAGTTTTTACTTTTGTAAACGAGGCAACACAGATTTGCATTCCAATCAAAAGATGTTTTGGTATATGCTTACCAAAAGTTGTACAATTGTACCAACACAACAAAAAGTTTCTTCTGTATATGTTTATGAATATATACATATATTTTTTAATGAAATATGTGGTTGTGTAATATGAAGCAGTAATATGAATTTCTATCCAGTGAATAATAGGCTATACTGTATTTGTATGAGTCCTCATTCACTGTAGACTAGGCTTATTTTTGTTCGTCTCTGTGAGAAACATTCCACAAATTATCATGTGTAGAACTTTAGAATCATTGATGTTATTTTAGTGATTTCACTCTTATGATATCAATACATATAACTGAACTGCCACTTATGGATGCTTTTTGTATACAATTATTTAATGAATTTTGACTGTACCCAGATGAATCTCAGATTAATTATTACAAAGACCTGCATAAATGATGTATATGCACATAAATACAAAGACAAATACACATCAATGACATACTGGGGCAAAACATCAACCCTTGAGCAGTTGGCTGTGATGTACACAAAGGGCGTTTTACTCTTTCATTGCCCAACCACTTGGGCTGGACAGTAGAGCGACGGTCTCGCTTCATGCAGGTCGCCGTTCAATCCCCAACCGTCCAAGTAGTTGGGCACCATTCCTTTCCACCGTCCCATCCCAAATCCTTATCCTGACCCCTTCCCAGTGCTATATAATCATGGTGGCTTGGTGCTTTCTTCTGATAGTTCCCTTCCCTTACACTATCATTCAGCATGCTTTCTCAATATCAGATTCTTAAGTTAACACTTTGCTCCAAGCCAGATGTTAGACCATAGGGAAAATAATACCCAGTACCAATTCAAAGTACAGTAGCTTCAGGGTAGTGCAGTAGTACTCACCACCACTCTCTCGGCTTAACACACACACAAACAGCACAATAGAAATGAACACAAGACAGATACATGTATATAAAAGACCAAACACTTATTCACATAGTACGAGTTATTACCCAGATGTATTGAACATCTTCCTTGATGTCATCTCCCACTGTGATATAATTCCCTCCTCCAAAGCTTATTGGTAATGACAGTGCCTTTCATACTTAATAAGTTGGCAGAGTTGATAGTCATAAATATGAACTCTGTAACTGCTGCTTTCTGCACTAATGTCTGCATTACCTGAAATATAGTTAATACAGAGAATAGTGTGGCTCATTAAGTTTTATAAATAAGACCCAAGAATTATTAACAAAGTACATTTTTTATATATAGCAGTACTTAGGTGAACTGGTCTCAGGAAATTGATGATATGTGAAAATACTGTAAGGATTCTGTACTATCCCAATCCATATATGAATTTAATAGCTTGTTAAAACTTGAAGATACAATTCTGCTATAATTTGTGTGATAAAGATTTTAGTAAGCTTGACAGATTATTCATAGACTTATATACCATTCTTAAAGCAGGGCATGTCAGGGAAAAACTTCAGCATTGGAATTTGGAAGAATCATTTCAGTTACATGTGGATATACAACACAAAGTTTAGTTATTCAGCACTTTTGCCATCAATTACATTAGCACAGCTCTCGATCTATGATGAATTTAATGTTTATAACAATTGGTGGTTTATAACCATTTTTATCTTGTTTTCCCTGAAGTATAGTGATTGTAACACTTGTTTGTGTCAGGACCTGAAAGCAGGTATGATGTATTGAAAAATTTTCTGAAAACTGAAGATTATAACAAGTGTTTTGTTAATATATGTAGATATACTCTTTGACTAATGGGACCAATTTTTATGATAATTGTATTTTCTGCATTTCAATATGTATTATTGATTTGTTTATATATACAGACATGAAATGTATTGTTAGAAATGTTCTCCAATGCATTGTACAGTATTGTAAATGTGAAATTTAACTATTTAAAATATGGCTAGAACATTGTGTCATTTATTCCTGATGCTGAATATTTTGTATTTCCTGGCTTCCTACTTTCAAGTAGGCACCTTTGGTTGAGGAGTAAGTAACTGATGTTACATACTGTTTACTATGTATTGTTTTCTTACTCCAAGGGCTGCCGGACAAACCGGGTTGTGGTCGGTATGTGGGCCTGCGGGTTGTGGGTTGGATCAATCAATTAACCATTAAATCCTTGAGGGTTAATCCCCAATTAATTGAAAAGGGAGGGATGAATTTATGTTAAGTGTGGATTAAACTCTCAAACCAAGGGAATATATATATGTATTTAAATAGATTAGGCTTGCTTGGAAAGTACTCCAACGACTCATTCAATAACCACCTGAGCGTGGATTCCATGGTAAAGACAATGAACTTTTATAAGAAACTCACTAAACACTTAGCAATTACTCACAAGTTTATTGAAACATAAATAATAGTAATAGGACAAACAAACCCAGTACTCCCTACACTGAACACTTCCTAAACTGAAATATATCCTACTGAAATACTTCCTACAATAGAGGCACTGAATTAATGGATCTAAAATGAACTGTACCAAACACTTTAAGAACTTTACCATTATCTTAAGCCCAGCCTGATATTCGCCTGGCCTTCTGGAGGTTAGGTGTTGACCAACCAGCTGTCCACTCCACACTAACTCATTCTCTGACTGTTGACCAGACCACACACTAAAAGGTGAAGGGACGACGACGTTTTGGTCCAGGATGGACCGAAACGTCGCTGTCCCTTCACCTTCTAGTGCGTGGTCTGGTCAACATTCTTCAGCCACGTTATTGTGACTCATCGCCTGCATTCTCTGACTCCCAGATTGTGAAGTTAACTAGGATTACTCTGCCAGCCTCTCTGGCTGCCAGATTAGTAAGCAGGGTTAATTGAACAAACTAATCATATTTACTGGCCACCCAGATGATTGAATTCCTATTGAAACTGATGTTAATTCTATAGGTTCTTGGGCCCGGCTATTTCCAATTTTATTTATATATATATATATATATATATATATATATATATATATATATATATATATATATATATATATATATATATATATATATATATGTTCAAACATATATTTATATATATATGTTTCATTGAATATGACCGCATATTCTGTGTTTATTATTTTCTGGTTTAGGGCTTCTATCCCTCTAACTATTTTCTTAGCATCAGGGCTTAATTGAAATAGGAGTTTTCCAAAACTCATTTTCGTACTTTTGAGGTGAAGAAAAGAAGTGATTTACTATAGAGTGTATTACACTTATTTATATAATTTGCACAACGTTTCGAACCTCCATGGTTCATTCTCAAGTGAACAGATCTTACAATACTAGTTGATTTTACACCCGCACTGGGTCAGGTGATAATACAATAAAGGTGAAAACATGGGGGGATACATAAGGGATAAATGTGAGGTGAAACATAGAGGCTGCAGAAGACTTATTGGCCCATACGAGGCAGTTCCTATCTAAACACAAAGATTAATCCAGTGTAATTGGCCTATTATGTTGGACATTGTCTTCTGTGTTGGCATCGATATGTTCTTGTCTTGTCCTTACTCTCATGGTGGGTAGAGTAAATAGTTCCGTGATTTGGGTGTTCATGGTAGGTCGCTCTGTTCTTATGTGAATTGCCTCAAGAATTTGTAATCTTCTTGCATCTTGGGTTTTGTCTATTATGCAGGTATAATTTATATATATATATATATATATATATATATATATATATATATATATATATATATATATATATATATATATATATATATATATATATATATATATATATATATATATATATATATATATATATATATAATATATATTATATATACTGTATATATATATATATATTATATATATTATATATATTATATATACTGTATATATATATATATATATATATATATATATATATATATATATATATATATATATATATATTATATATACTGTATATATATATATATATATATTATATATACTGTATATATTATATATATATATATATATATATATATATATATATATATATATATATATATATATATATATATATATATATATATATATATATATATATTTATATTATTTATTTATTTTTATTTATTTTGTGTACTTCTAAATCACAGGTTTTAGCTGAAATTTCAGCAATAATATGTTTACACTCACGATAAGTGTCAGTGTTTATTTGCTCCGCCCAACATGTTCTCAACACACAGAACACGAACTGGCACAACATGTTTTTCTACAACCCTTTGTTCTAGGCATAGTGCAATAGTTTGTCACACTAAAACTTTTAATTTATTTATTTAATTATTTATTTTATTTACTTATATACAAGAAGGTACATTGGGTTTGTGAGGATACATAGCATGGTGTTAACATTCTTGTAGAGCCACTAGTACGCGCAGCGATTCGGGCAGGTCCTTAATCTAACATATAATTTTCAGTAGGTATAAAGTAGGTACAAAATTTATAAGTGATAACAGGTACATTGCAAGAAAAAAATGAGATGAAAGAGATTAGTAGATATATTAAAGCAGATTGGTAGCTCTGATTGACTGTATTGACAGCTTGATTGGTAATTTAACAAAGATTAATAGGCACAATACAGCATAATGATATCACATATAAGAAAAACAGCAATGATCACAATGGTAAAGTTGCTTGGATTAGGTACATAAAGATAGGGGGATTATTTACAATCCCGATTGATCGACTTCAGAAAGGTCCAGGATGGACCGAAACCTCGTCGTCCCTTCACTTTCTTGTAAGGTACGTGATTGAAAGCCGTACCCTAAAGTATCGCTAACAACACCCGCTCTTACTTTCTTATAAATAATGGAAGTGCAGGGGTCTATATAGTAATAGTCACCAGTTCTAACTACATGGGACAAGAAATACACCTTGGGGCACAATTTTACAAAAAGGATTTTATTTAACAAATACAGTACTGTACCAGATTTCCTCTCATTTCCTAGAGCAGGAAGGGGGGGGGGGGGTTTTACTTGGGTCCACCACAGGATTGATACAGACAAAAAAGGGTGTGAGGAAGATTCCTTCTCCCTCTACAACCTGGGACTTGAGGTCATTACTCTATTCCACTCCTCATAGGTCACTACAAAGGGCCTGGGTTTACAAATGGATATACAAAATAAATGTGGATAACCCCCCCATGTGACACACAGCTGAACACATACACCCGAATTAACAACACACCGCTCTCCCTACTCACAGGGTTCCACAAATTCCTATCTCTAACTCATAAAGAAAAGGGGAAGCACTGCTATAAACATCTATTATACTGCACTTATCGTATTTGTTGGAGACCGTCCACAACACTGGTGTGGTTGTCACTGCCGCTCTCTCCCAAGGGGTCCATAGAATTACCCAAATTTATTTATTTATTTATTTATTTATATATATACAAGAAGGTACATTGAGTTTGAGAGAATACATTGGATAGTACAGTATTTACATTCTTGTAAAGCCACTAGTACACGCAGCATTTCGGGCAGGTCCTTAATCTAGCAGATAATTTTAAGTAGGTAATTTCAATCAGAATTGATAAATGAAAGATACATTACAAGAGAAAAATGAGATGAGAGAGATAAGTAAGTATATTAAAGCACATTGTTATATTAAAGCACTGATTGATTACATTGACAGCTTGATTAGTAATTTAAACAAGATTAATAGACACCATACAGCAGATTGACAGCACATATAAGACAGCAATGATCACAATGGTAAAGATGTTCAGAATGGGTACATAAAGATTGGGAGACTGGGTAGCAAAAGATACAGATAACAAGATTTATAAACACCATACAACAGATTGGCAGCACATATAAGAAAACAGCAATGATCTCAATGGTAAAGATGTTCAAATTGGGAACATAAAGGTTGGGAGATTGGGTAGCAATAGATACAGTGTAATTTTAAGGCAAAAAGTGAAAAACTATGAAGATGAAATTAGGTACTTTTTAGTATTGATTTTGAATGATGTAAAAGTTGGACAGCTTTTCAATTCAGTAGGGAGTGAGTTCCATAAACTGGGTCCCTTTATTTGCATAGAGTGTTTACACAGATTAAGTTTAACTCTGGGGATATCGAAGAGATATTTATTTCTGGTGTGGTGATAATGAGTCCTATTACATCTGTCCAGGAAGAGTTTCAGACAAGGATTTGCATTTAAGAACAGGGTTTTGTAAATGTAGTTGACACAGGAGAATTTGTGGAGTGAGATTATGTTTAGCATGTTTAGGGAGTTAAACAAGGGGGCTGTGTGTTGTCTGAAAGCAGAATTTGATATTATTCTGATAGCAGATTTTTGCTGGGTGATGATGGACTTGAGGTGGTTTGCAGTGGTTGAACCCCATGCACAGATACCATAGTTGAGATAGGGATAGATTAGTGCATAATATAGAGAGATGAGAGCAGAGTTAGGAACATAATATCTGATTTTGGAGAGTATACCAACTGTTTTAGAGACTTTCTTAGTTATGTGTTGTATGTGGGTACTGAAGTTGAGTCTCTTGTCTAGGAATATGCCAAGAAACTTTCCATAATTTTTATTGCTAATGTTTACATTGTCAATCTGAAGCTGAATTGCATTTGTAGATTTGCTTCCAAATAGGATGTAGTAGGTCTTTTCTATGTTAAGTGTTAGTTTGTTGGTTGACATCCATAAGTGGACTTTTTTTAGTTCATTATTAACAACATCATTTAGTGTATGTGGGTTGGGGTTGGAGTAAATGAGGGTAGTATCATCAGCAAACAAAATAGGTTTCAGAATGTTAGAGACATTAGGCAGATCATTAATGTATATAAGAAATAGTAGGGGTCCCAAGATGCTGCCCTGTGGCACTCCAACGGTTATTGGTAGAATGGGAGAGATTATATTATTGATGGCTACACATTGGTGTCTATCACTAAGATAGGATTGGATATAGTCCAC